CCTCCAAGGGGCCCTTGTTCACACAATAGGCAGCTGTAGCTGGAGAACTACAAAGAACACATTTGAAGATCTCCTAAGATCGCTAAGATCTCCTAAGATCTTATAAGATCTTCTATCATATCCTAAGATCTTCAATCGTCTCCTAAGATCTCCTAAATTTGGTTTGAAATTATGTTTGATCCAGGTCTCGGTGATTGAGCTGCATCAGAGTCGAGCTCTCCTCCTGACAAGTCTCCTCTTGACAGGCCTGATCCGCAAGCGCCTGCATCATAAGAACCGCGAGAACCGCAACCCTCGCCATGACTTGATGCCGAGTCTCCCAGAATACTCCGAGAATCTGACAATCCGAAAGGATCCGAAAGGGCCTACCTGTTGAGCCGGGCACTGCAGTCTCAACGTGCTCAGCCCTCGACTGGGCTACACTGCTACACTGCAACTGACTCTCGGAAGCCGATGCTTCTCCAAAGCTGACAGCGTATCTAAATTGCCACTTGCGAAGTGCTACGCAATACAATCCCACTAAATGAAAACCTTCTGCATTGGTAGACGAATCCTGCATTCAGAGAATAATCATCTACCTCGGACTGCGTTCACTGTCTTGCATCTTTTTTGCCTGCAACATCCAGCCACGATGCCCATCCAGTGTCGAAAGCAACTCAAGAGTTTTCCCCTGCTATGGAGCACGTGCTGTTCCAATAGCAGTGGGAAATCAGTGCCTTCCGCTAAGGTGCAACAGCCGGCCACCGAAGCGTCCCTTATATCGAACATGACTCCCTTGTGAATGGAACCTGAAATATCAGGATGGACTTCTTTTGCGGAAAAAAGTCAGATTGCCTCACGGCTAAAAGAATAGGAAATGGTTTAGGAAGACACTACACAGGAATAGGAAATGGTTTGGAAAAAGGCGCTACATTATGCTAAATTTTGCTGCTAAATGCTAAATTGGTCTTTTCTTTCATATACTTTGATCCGTGTTTAGTAACCTTTGAGAGCAATGTGCCTTTCTACTCCTTTGTGCACTCAACATGCTACAACGCATGTCTTCAACATGCCTTGCACATCTTCATTACTGGTTGATCACATGTTGGGCTTGACTCTATCATCAAACAGGCAGCATCCTCAACAGAAGCAGCTCCAAAAAATGCTCAACAGGAACCAAAGGACACCTCGGCGGTTCTGCTGCTGCTTTTGAGGTATACTCCGAGCCCTCATGAGCTACAAGTACACTATGAGCCACAAGCAGACGACTCAACTGGGCCTGCCGTGCAGCCATCTGAATTGAGAACGAGCCAAGTAGCTGAGCCTTCAAACAATCTGCAGACCTCGTCTCTTGCGACAAGGACCGCCCAAAGCCTGGAGCAACCTGGTTTTTACTCTAATTGTAGTCCTTCTCTGTGTGGGCTTCTTTGGAAGCTTCGCCCAAAAAGCCCACCAGACCAACCACTGACATCAAGGGGAAGAATCAAGAACCCAAAATAAGCCAATTACACATTACAGGCTGAACATGTCATATATGTCATGTCTTTCTTGACCAAGGTCTACTCAAAAGGCCCCCCACAGACTTTGGATAGAGCCACCCCACTGGCTGGCAATGCTAAAGGACAACAAAACTGATCCTTCATGTTCATTCATTTTCAACCGTCAATCGGATTGGTGGTTCCCCCCGGACCAAATCAATCGCCGACCAGCCAGCTGAAGGCACAAGACTCAATTAAGCAGTTCATACTTCGATCAAAAATTGTCTCCCAACTCACGTGGAGGAGTAGTTGGCAATGAACGAGGCGTTGGTGTCTGAGATGAAGGGTGCAACAAGAAGACGAGATGGTGCCGGTTGCACATCACCACCCATGTTTCGGCCATACTCCAACAAGTCTGCGCACATACGGTCCATGTTCTGTGCCGACAGAATCCAGCACTCTCGAGCCACGTGCCATGTCACTTCGGCTGGAGAACATCGGAAATTGTCGTAGGACGTACCGGTGGTGGAGCCAATGTACACAATTGAGTCTCTGACTGGTTCGCGCCAGGTCGTGTTGAACATTTTGTATTCTTGTTCTGGCCAGTTCACGATGCGACAGATCTGTCCTCGCACAAAGGCCGTTGGATTTATGGATCGATTGAAGACACCACCCAAGCCGCCCGTCAAAACCCCGTCAATGGGCCCGGCCGTGGAATGGACCCAGTGAAACTCATAGGTGTAGCCCATCTTCACATTTTTGCAAGATGTCCAGTTGTAATCATCCAAGGTCCAGGTGTCATTGGTTGGTGGTCCCTGGTTCACTGGAGCGCAAAAATATCCTGGGCGGATGTCATTGGGAACGATATCCCCAAGCACGGCATCGGTAGAGTTGAGGGAATAGCCCCCATCTTCCACGTTTTGGTGTTCACCACCCAAGTGAAAGTGCGTGTTCACGTGGATCAGATTGGGGAACTCATCATACAAACCTCGGAAATGATTCCAAACTCTTCCAACACATTGAATGGATTTCAACTCACAACAGCGTTGAACAACAGTTGACCTGAAATCTATATATACTGGGTGTTCTTTCCAATTCTAGTTTTACGATGTTTTACGGCATTAATTACATGCTCTTCACGGAACAAACTTTGTGACTTTGTGTGATTCATCCAGGAACCGACGGGCTTCACTTTCGGAGGCAACAATCCCACGAAATCTTTACTCACGTTGCGTGGCGACTGCGGCTCTGCGATGGAGCAAGGATAGCGTGGAGGTGCCGGGGGGGGGGAGGAGGAGCTGGGTGACTCCCTCGACGTGAGTCAATGATCTTCTTCTTGACCCACCATGGAAGACCCTCATTCAACTCATTGAGCTCATCACCCGTCATCTCTCCTTGGCTAAGAAGTTTCAAGGCTTAAGACTCTCGCAACAAGCTCAAGGAAGACATCTGAACACAATCAGAGACATGATAGGGAAATCAGAAACAAGGGAAAAGCATCAAACATATATTTCAACATAGAAAATTAAACAAAGAACATACTAATAATCAAAAGAACTATGTCCGAAAGCAAGTTCACCTAAAAGAAATGTCTGATATGTATTGATATGTCTGCTGCAAACACAAATTCAATCGAATAATATCGAAAATCGGCTTTATATTGATTTATGCCTTTCTTGATTGCCAATCCTCCAAGGGGCCCTTGTTCACACAATAGGCAGCTGTAGCTGGAGAACTACAAAGAACACATTTGAAGATCTCCTAAGATCGCTAAGATCTCCTAAGATCTTATAAGATCTTCTATCATATCCTAAGATCTTCAATCGTCTCCTAAGATCTCCTAAATTTGGTTTGAAATTATGTTTGATCCAGGTCTCGGTGATTGAGCTGCATCAGAGTCGAGCTCTCCTCCTGACAAGTCTCCTCTTGACAGGCCTGATCCGCAAGCGCCTGCATCATAAGAACCGCGAGAACCGCAACCCTCGCCATGACTTGATGCCGAGTCTCCCAGAATACTCCGAGAATCTGACAATCCGAAAGGATCCGAAAGGGCCTACCTGTTGAGCCGGGCACTGCAGTCTCAACGTGCTCAGCCCTCGACTGGGCTACACTGCTACACTGCAACTGACTCTCGGAAGCCGATGCTTCTCCAAAGCTGACAGCGTATCTAAATTGCCACTTGCGAAGTGCTACGCAATACAATCCCACTAAATGAAAACCTTCTGCATTGGTAGACGAATCCTGCATTCAGAGAATAATCATCTACCTCGGACTGCGTTCACTGTCTTGCATTTTTTTTGCCTGCAACATCCAGCCACGATGCCCATCCAGTGTCGAAAGCAACTCAAGAGTTTTCCCCTGCTATGGAGCTGTTCCAATAGCAGTGGGAAATCAGTGCCTTCCGCTAAGGTGCAACAGCCGGCCACCGAAGCGTCCCTTATATCGAACATGACTCCCTTGTGAATGGAACCTGAAATATCAGGATGGACTTCTTTTGCGGAAAAAAGTCAGATTGCCTCACGGCTAAAAGAATAGGAAATGGTTTAGGAAGACGCTACACAGGAATAGGAAATGGTTTGGAAAAAGGCGCTACATTATGCTAAATTTTGCTGCTAAATGCTAAATTGGTCTTTTCTTTCATATACTTTGATCCGTGTTTAGTAACCTTTGAGAGCAATTTGCCTTTCTACTCCTTTGTGCACTCAACATGCTACAACGCATGTCTTCAACATGCCTTGCACATCTTCATTACTGGTTGATCACATGTTGGGCTTGACTCTATCATCAAACAGGCAGCATCCTCAACAGAAGCAGCTCCAAAAAATGCTCAACAGGAACCAAAGGACACCTCGGCGGTTCTGCTGCTGCTTTTGAGGTATACTCCGAGCCCTCATGAGCTACACTATGAGCCACAAGCAGACGACTCAACTGGGCCTGCCGTGCAGCCATCTGAATTGAGAACGAGCCAAGTAGCTGAGCCTTCAAACAATCTGCAGACCTCGTCTCTTGCGACAAGGACCGCCCAAAGCCTGGAGCAACCTGGTTTTTACTCTAATTGTAGTCCTTCTCTGTGTGGGCTTCTTTGGAAACTTCGCACAACAAGCCCACCAGACCAACCACTGACATCAAGGGGAAGAATCAAGAAGCCAAAATAAGCCAATTACAGGCTGAACATGTTATATATATATACCTTGGCCCTCCAAACCTGATAAAAACGTAGGGTCTGCCTGAAAACACGAGGTTTTCAATGAAAACACGAGGTTTCGTTTTCGGACCACTTTTTGGGTTTTTGCCGTCCCCGCTAAATCCTGCTCATGTCCTATTTGGACCTCGCAAACTTCGCTGGCATCACCACAAATGCTGGGAGCTGAGGATTGGGCAATTGCCAAAGTTCATGTCACATATCAAAAGCTAGGCACATCTTCAAAATCCAACTGATAAAGTCGAAGTGTCAACACATTGGATAAGAAATTCAGGATGGATTAAGATAAACAAAGACATATAGTTTCAATGCTTTAGATATGGATATCTAAAGTTCTCATCTCAGCTTCCAGCGCGGATGATGTACCCAATCTTTACCCATTGAGCGTAAGCGCTCTGTAGGTATCGATCACAAACGCGTTCTGAAATATGTGTTTCGCTGACATGCCTGCTCAGTCTACTTGCTCTACCTATGTAGTCTTCATCTTGTTGCACACTTGTGCACAAAATTGACATCACAGGTCCCAAAGAAGAAGCTTCCAACATGCTTAAAAAGAGGTGGTGCATTGCATGTGCTTTTGGTTGAATTACAAAATGTCGCAAGTTCCTTTGGAAAGCTCGCAATGCACAGTCAGAGTAACGCCGCAAGAAGCGAAAACCGTAGTTGGCCACTTCAGCAGCATCACTACTGCAAAGCCAAACTCCGGAGGTATAGAGAATCCTGATGAATTTGTTTGCTGCCACAGCCGCTTCTCCACCAAGAAAGAGTAGGTCATCATCAGACCAGTCCTCACTCAAGAACCTGGACTCCACCCACAACAAAAGGGATGTGGATAGGTCCCCTTTGTGCCAGCCTCCAGTCGGGTAAACTGTAGTGCTGACCCAGTTGATCATTTCCTTGGTCAAGCGCTGAACATGTGCTGGTCGACCATTTGTAGAACACCAACCCAGGTATTTCGCAGTGAGCTGTTCGAAACGGGTGTCAATGCTTGTCCCTGGCTCACGTTGAGACAGCAGAGCAATCATAGATCCAAGGTAGTTCTTTGCTAATCCCAAATGAAAACAATGGAACAGGTCGAAATGAAACAGCCGTGCCAGCTGGTTTTCACCCGGGGCATGTGGAAGAACTTGGAATGGACTTGGTCTTGAGAATGGCGACTGTTGTAGAAACGTATTTCTCCAAGTAGGATGCCTTGTGCCAACCTGCTCGAAAGGCACTCCAGGTTGCCCTGCCGCACATAAGTGACAAATTCCACGGCACACCCGTGGAGCCCCTGCAGCGCTGCGATGCTTTGTTGCATTCAAAAATGAACGCTCTAAAGACCCAGACTTTTGAAGCCATGGCCAGTCACCAACAATTCCAACACAAACTGCCCACCATTGCGTGCCAAACCGATCAGTCACCCCAGTGGATGAAACATGAGCAAGTTCCGCTGCCAATCTTTCCAGCAAAATGTCAAACACGTAGGATTTTTTTCCGGTGTAAGCACTTTTATGCATTGCACATGCCAGGAAACGATTTGTGTACGAGTGCCCCATGAAATTTGGTAGCATTTTCAGGTAATGCTTTCGAGATGCAGTGCGCAGCTCCACTTCAACTCCTCTCCCAAGAACACTGTGTATGTTGGTGACAAGAAAGGCACTCCTCTTTTTGGAGCGGCCTTCGTCCCCATGTAACAACACAGGAATTGTACGTCCCAGGATGATCTCACCGTTTCTCGCCCTTTCGAATATAGGATGAGTTGGTTCTTGCAATTCAAAATTCCTCCAGAATGCTGTTAAAATTGCATGTTCTCGATCATGGTCTGGGCGAACTAGTCCAACAAGTATGTGCATGCAGTTGTGAAGCAACATCATGGATAGCCAATCCCGGAATCGTAGGAATGGGATTTTCGGATCACCATCACGGAGTTTGAGATAGCGTTTCTTCAGTGGTAACGCTAACCTGCATTGTTTTGTCATCAATCTATGACAATCTCTTTCACCATTTTTGGGATCTCGTTTTGAAAGGTTTATCAACCCACCAGACTTTGCGGCAGAGCATTCCCCCACATCCGCCACGAAATCGCGGGCTGTGCGAATCACAGCAGCACATGAAGCCTCAGCGCAGGGACTGCAGTCAGAGAGAGGGCAATGTAAAACAACAAAAACTAAAACAGTGGAAGTGTGGTAACAAACTTCTCTAGAAGTCCGGGTGGGTCAAGGTTATTTACCATAATGTGAATATCCAAATGGACATGCACTGCAAATGAAATATACACACTGCGTTGATATGCACGCTCTTTGCAGCGATCTCTCTTGACCTTTTTGTTTCCATTGTTTTGCATCCGCTTAGCCTTTCTGTGGGCCAAGTGCTCGAGAAGTCACTTTCATACTCGCACCTTCAGTTTTCGCAATTGGCGGTGGGTGCCTAAAGGATCTGTACACTACATAAGTCATAAAGCGATCACCAGAAGATGCCATATCCGGGTCAACAGTGTCACCTCCAGCTCTGACATTCTTACATCCCTTGCTACCTTGGTTGTTGCGTAGGGACGCTTGGTTTTTTCTTTGATGTTGTGCTGGTATTCAAAGATAGTGTAACAGCCATAGACCTAAAAAAAAACGTGCTGATGCTTATTAAGTTAGTTGCTCTTGAACTTTTCAATCAGCGCTGCTTCTAACATAGCTGGGGTGTAGGGCTCTGGTCCGTAGTGGAGGATGAGCATGTTGCTCCAGCGTTCTCGCGCGGTTGCATATCCATAAATAGGATTTGTCCATCGCCAAATGGGGTTATGTGTGAACCCAAACTTAAATATCAAAGGCTCTTCCTTTCGGAAGAGTGCTAGTGTGACATCAATGGCATGTTGTAGGATTGCACCAGCTGCCGCTTTCAGGTCGCACAACTTGAAACTGATCCAACTCAACGTTTGGCACTTGGTTACCAGGGCATCCAATCGCGGTGAAAGTGGTGGCATTTGTTGGCGAGATGCTGGAATTGTTCGATCACGATACCCAATACTGATCTTGTTGTATTTGCACTCGGGATTGTCTTCACGGTTTTCACATTCACGTTTCTCTCTCGCAGAGCTTGCACTAGGATGGCCGGAAGGAAAAAAAGACTGTGGACGTGTCCATGGGAATGGACCTTCACTTTCCTGAATATGTTCTCTGAAACATCGCCAGACCCACAAAAGTAACACTTGCACGAACAAGACTCATACAGGAAACACTTTAATCTGATATATATAATATATTATATATATGACATATAGTTTATCCTACTCTGACATCAAGAAAATCGTCCAGCGTCAGATCTGTGACAAGTCAGCAGTTCAAGTAGTTCTTCTTCAGCACTGTCTGAATCAACATGGCACGATTTCATATGGATCCATTTCAGATAGTCGAGGATGCTTGATCAGAAATGTTGAGAATCGAGAAATGATAAGTTAAGATGACCATCTTACTGTACAACAACCTTGCAACGAGTTCTGTGCTCTGAGGCTGGAACACCTTCTCCAATTGCTGCACTCATGCCACGGATAGTGCGACCAGGCCTGACACCTGGCACATGGGTCACCGGAGGTTGGGTTCCAGGATGTCTCGCAAAAGTGTTTCCCATACAGTAAACAAACAATACATAAGACTAGTGCCCCATGAAACGACTGCAGTACCACACCCTTTGTTTTAAGACTGCAGCACTGCAGATCGATCTAGATGTTGTCTCTGCAATGTTCAACGCTGAATGGATTTGCAGCCAGTAAGCTAAACCTGCTGCCGTGAATTAACTTGGAATACCTTCAAGCTGAAACCTAGCCACACATAGCGTCACCATCAAGTAGAGCCCGTATAACCAGGATATCAATCTACAATGGTCAACCATTGCAATATGGCAACTGAACTGGTTGAAACATCTCAAGGCTTGAACTTGCACTTTGTGCTATGTGTGCACTGCCAGGGCAACAGTTATACCCCCAAATGACTTGTAGTCATCAGAAACCGTGAGCGACTACTTATTTTTTTTCTCCTTCTTAGTCTTCTTGTCCTTGTCCTTGGCGTTCTTCTCCTTCTTGTGCTTAGCCTTAGGAGGCTTGGTCTGGGTGTCATCCGGGTCCGTGTCATCGCCGCCACCCTTCTTGTCATAGTACTTCTTTGCATTCCTGCGGGATGGAGATGAAAGAGAGAGCAGTGGTATGATTTGCAGTTGGAAAAGGAGAAGGGCCATGACAAACCAATAGCATAATCCCCATATTGTCCTGATCTTGTTCTCCACGGCTACGGCTCTGGCACACCTACAGTATACATGTGAATCTCATCTTATATCATGGGGTACAAATCTTGTTCAACAAATGGCAGTTTCATACGTATCAGGTCAAAATCTAGGATAGGGACGCAAACGTGGCATCCTTCATGCGTTTCTCGGCCGTGGTGTACCACCTAGGATCAAGCATACGTGATTGATACCACCAAGTACGATGTCACAAAAAAAAACGAGTGAGAAATCCTGGTTTGGAAATAGTCGGACCACTTGAGTTCAGATTACTTCATTCAAGAAACTCTTCCCCTTGGAAGTCTTCCACTTCGCCCTTTGCCCAAGCTTCATTGCACGAGTCATATTGCGAATCAACGTTTTTGATCTGAAGCTCGAGGTTCTTCAAGCACCTGCAGCGTGATGACGTTCTTGTGTGGAGACTCGGAGCTAATCCAAAGACGGCGAAACCCGGGTGAACAACACTTCCAAAAACAAAAACATTGAATTAAGATGTCAATCATTCATATTTGTTTTGGGATCATTGTTTCGTAATTAGCTATAAGGTGAAACGTTTCGACAAGAGGCTCAGAAGTCGCACTGTCAGCATAGTTTTTCTTGAGCTCTCGGGCCAGTGATCGAAGCTTTCCACTCTTACTGATCATGCTGCTGAGCACTCTCTTCAAGGCTTCTTTCGTCTAGCGTAGGCACAAGTGTGTTTTTTGTATATAATGGATATATATTGCATATGAAAGTGTTCAAAAGGTATTATGATCTTCCGGCATTTGCATTAGATGTGTTGTGTAAACATGGCAACAGTCCACCCGTCCTGCATGTATTTGGTCATACCTGGCTGGTCAAAGTTGCCCTTGTCCTTGTCGGTCTGGCGCTTGGTTGCAGCGTCAAGTCCGGCAAAGTCGGTGCCAAGATCAGAAGTTGGATCTGAGCCGTCCTCCACCTGAACGAAAGTACCAAACAATGGATACAAAGGGCCATGTAGTGAAGGAAGCACAATATATGGAACAGGATATATCTTCACTGGTTTATTTCAGCTTACACTGTATGATATTGTGTTCAATACATATAATATATATCATGTTTGTATGATGTTGATGCTCATGTAGGCCTTCTGTCTCTTGCTGCGTTGGTGCTCATACGATGACTCCTCAGTCCTCTTCCCAGTCTCCTTGACGACCACCCAATACTCAAGCTCACCATCATATGCGTTGCGCCTCTGGTGCAAGAGACACACATCCCTTTCTATAATTACAGTGACTTGACAGTGACAGGGACTTAAAACATGCAATTCCATCATCTACCCAGTAATGACGCCTGGTGTGCGAATCAGGCATTTTCAAGCAGAGAGCTTTTGCTCCGTTGATCTTTTGCCTTAATTGCCGAAACAGTAAGCGCACATACCATGACTTTGAATACAACAGTGATGAACAGCTGTGAAGGCTATGGAATGCTATGGATATATTTTCACGCTTCTTTTCTAGAGTTGAGTACCCATTACATGAAAGTGCAATTTAAAAGCACACAGTGGATTCTAAGATGATGGCGTTGACCAACCCAATTCTTTCAGCTCCTCTTCTGAGTGCCAGCCCTCATCAACGGTCAACTGGAAGGATTTCTTCTTCTTGACGATGACAAGAAGCTCATTGAGGAACGCATCCTTCCGTATTCACATCACTTGAATTAAGAAACGGTTGGTTTCCCAATCCCTGGTGCATCATGTGTCTACTATATTCTAATGTTTCCACATATGTATTCTGAGCCTTATATTGTTATTTATATTGTATTGCAGTTCCACGGAGAAGAACCAGTATGTGTATCGTATCTTGTAAATTATTCACATGCTCAGCTCCTTGTCCCAGTTGCACGTCCGAAGTAAGTCTGCAATTGCAGCCTTATCTCCGTTCTTCCACTCTTCCTTCAGCCACTCGGGGGCTTCCAACTCACGCCTCTTCGACTTAGGTTGGACCATCCGATCCAGCCTTGCTTTTGCGGCTCGTCTCAGCTGAAACTGCAGGGGCAGGCAGGCTGACGACCCTGACTGACTGGAATGTATGATATCATGTTGGGGTACTTTCAAAGATTGAGAGATATTTAAAAGAAATATATATCATACCATAAGCAAACATGAGAAAACTGATTTTGGTTTATAACCACATGCCTGTCGGAGAGTCATACCTTTGGGGCGATAAGCAGCTGCTGCTTTGGTGGGAGCACTAGGAGTAGGTGTTGCTGCAACATCCGAGACTGGTGTAGTAGGTGCTGATGTGTCTGAGGGGCCATGAGCTTTGGGAGTGACCACCACCAAAGTGTCAGTAACTTCTGATTCTGGGGATTGCACATTATCAGATGCATCAGCTCGAACAGGTGTTGCGACAGGTCGCTGGTTCGGTGTCACCTTAGCGATTTGAAATCTGAACCATGGATGTAGCAATGTCATTCCTTTGAAGTTATTCTCATTCTTAGTTATGTAGCCCCAAACAATTTACTCAATTTGTTTGCAATACTCAGTACAAGTAGATGACACCAAATGGCCCTATATATTCACATACCATCTAGAGATCCAGTATCATCTAGGTTGACACCAATTCAATACCCTTAGAAGCCTCTAATGAAAGGGGTTCACACTTCGTAATGCCCATGTGCATCCTGATGACATCTATGCTGGATTGCCCACTCGAAGACTTCAAGGATAGCGCTAGCTCTTCTGCTGATGCCTTATCCCAAGAGGGCCACTTGATAAAAAAAGCTTTTGCAGTAGTAATCTATTGACGTGCAAATGCCAAATCTCAGCTGAAGACCGGCAAGGTGTCCGCATTGCAGATATCCTGCTTCGGTGTGGTCTCCTGGTGGTTCAAATGGTGTTTGTGTCTCCAGCCAGCTGGGGACTGAACATGGGTAACAAGGTGTAAAAAATTGCAGTATATTGTTTATGAGCAGGATCTTACATACTACGAATAAAGTATTGGGGAATGCTATGTCAGCATATATAAGTTGATAGGTATGATCCAGATAATGCACCACAAATACACTAATTAAGACACTAATGCCTCATGTCCCTGTGCCTCATTGCCACTCGTTTGATCTCGGAAATCAAGCTCCTAGCGGTGACAACGAATGTGAAGCTTCCAAGTATGTATGAATATTTAAAAGCTGTTTGAACAGGTTTTGACATCGCAATGCAGTAAGGTGTTATGAACATGTTTTGATACTAAGATTCTGCCAAACAACAATACCATCAGAGAAGTATGTTGTCTCCTCCAACTGACGCACAAGTTCTGCCTCTTGAGCCTCTAGTTTCTGCATCTGAACCTGGTCGATGCCATCACCTAAGGTTGAGCAACTCCACCTTTTCGAAGAGCCAGGTACGCTGACCATGGGAGCGAAGGATCACGGGGGTCCTCTCACTAAGATCCAGAAAAACCTGTATATATGCAATGTGCACATGTGATGTTGAAGCAACTAACTATCCACGACACACTCTGACATCAATCATTGCCCAACTTCACAGTGTCATTCTTTGGTTTCAACATTATTTAGCAATGTTGTTTTCATCAGAGAATAGATATACCCGATCGTATGATATCACGACAAGGCCGTGACGTCCAAACAAATTGGAGGCGTATTTTGCCTCGAAATTCTCGAATTAAATGGTTCGATAACCCGGTAGATTTTCTCAGTTGGATCCACTAAATTTCTCATTTTGGCTATTCAATTGTGAAGTTATCGGAGCCCCAAAAACCCGTGAAAAAAACATGGGTTGTCACGGGAGAATCATGGGTATGTCATGGGTTCGTCACGGGTTTGGAAAAACCAGGTTTTTTTTTGATACACGGGGTTTTGCTAGGCTAATCATGGGTTGTCATGGTATAATCATGGGTATGTCATGGGTTCGTCACGGGTTCGTCATGGGTTATCGGACCTCCAAATCATCAACCCGACATTTTCGGAATCAATTATGTTAATTTTCTGTTTTTGCTATAACTTTCCAGAAATTATCCATATATTTTCGAGTTCAAGATCTGGAAAACTGTTGGAAAACCAACGGACCTTCGATAAGTTTCATCCGATCTTTCTCGGAATCACAGCTCGGTACTCAGGAGGAATCTCGAGTTTACGATTGCCTCTCAAGTAATCAAAGACTTCACCAAACCCTGCAAAACTCCACTCACAATCTGCCATTGGCCATGGTTCCCCCATGGTTGTCAAAGCTGGTGGCAGCTCCATGGGTAGCGCAGGTTGGCCCTTTGCCGTGGACTTCATAGCATCCAGCATATCCACCAAGGTCCGTGCAAAGGGCATTGGATAGACCCTTGGTATGGCTGTGGTTGATGGGGTTTAAATGTTTAACTGGTGATGCAATGCCATGATTGAATAGATATAAATTATATAAGTTACTTGCCCAAAAATGTTTTAAATAGCATTTGGTGGCCATTGATCATTTTAAGATAAATCAGGTGTGGACCAAAATGTATCAAACCAGTGATATAAGTCAGGGCTGTGGATCAACATAATCAATATCTTGATTAGAGATTTCAAAAGATTTCACCATATGGTTTCTCGGTTATGGGTAGTTCCGCAAGAATGCTTTTACAGGCTGTAAGGTACAAATCAAAACATACACTTTGCAACAAATCAAATCTATTCAAGAGTCTCCGTTGAACGAAGATGCTTCGTACCTTTGTAGCACTTCTTACCTTGCTTGTTGAAATAGTGATCTGCTGTTTTGATACGATCCTTCTTAGCTTTACGATCAACTGCGCGAAGTGGACCTTTGTCTAACTGAAGGATTTTCTCAGAGTTGGCATACGCGTAGTGGCGTTTGGGAGTTGGAGATTTGTAGTGGGCCATCCACCAGGACACTCGAGATACCTCACTGGATTTGTGACACAGGGTTTGATACAAAGATATATACCACTTGAACAACCTTTTCAAACATTCTAATCAGATTTGATCAATATATATTGTTTTGTAATTTGTTTCTGGAAGTCATGCATATACGGTCGAGTCTAATACATGTTAAATTGATGGTGGTTCGTACCAACTAATCAAAGCTACAGCTCTCGGTCCACCAAAGTCAAATACCTTTCGCATCATCAGTCTGAATATAGGGTAGAACTCAGCTGTCGAGCCATCTGGTTGCTCCAGGCTCCAAACTCCGCCGAGCGCCGTGACCAAAAGGATCAATGCACAGGTCCTGCCATGAGGGAATGGTGCAGATGTTAGCTTTAGAGTTTCCCTCAGAATCCTGCATATATACAACGTCTACAGCTGGAAATCTATAATCATTCAACATTATTTGTTAAACATATGTTGGCTTTAGATGATCCTCCTATATTGCATTCCCCTAAGTGCATTTCATGTTCAATAGATGTTTGCAAAGGAGAGATTGATGGGGCTTTGATTTACTGTCCTTTCCAACAGCTTGTTTGATGTGAAAACCGATGGATGACCATCAAACCCCAAGCTGCAACATGGCCCCCTCATAGATGTACCGACGTTCATTCGGCAAAACGAAGAGCATTTCAATGCAAAGTGGGCGGCAAAGTCGCTTGCTCGACAACGCAGTATCATCAAAACTGCCAACCTTAGATGGCATTATCATTGGTATTCTTCGCATCTTACAGTGCAAGGGTAATAAGCTCATATGTTGCACTATAGTTTATAACTATATACCATTTATAGCCATATACAATTTTATATAGCAGTACGGCATCCTTTGTGGTTGGTATGTTGCCCTATTATTTGAGACGAGAAACGCAAAGCCTGAAACACTGTTCAAATCCATGTAGTTAGACTTTCGAGATCCCAGATTCTGGTTATCCAAGATGTCGAAGCGAAGGGCATTGTACCCCGTTACCAGAGCTTGCTTGGTAAGATTACCAACTCCAGCGAAGAACTCTAGGACCTCATACTCCTGGCTGGCTGTAACGATGGGTATATGGTGTATCTATCAAGGCTTGAAAAGGAACATCAGGTATTCATGCATCAGTTAAGAATGATGGAATATAGTTGTCCTAAGGTTTTGAATGCCCGCCAAGGTTTTCTCATATATAATCTTTCTAGATACCTTCGCCACTGTTTCTCCTCGTCAACGGAATAAGTCCAGCACAGCATCAGGACGCTAAGCACGAACTCCTGCCATTGAGCAAGAGGCCGGGCAGTAAATGGTAGATGGGAGGATGGCACTTCACTGCATTGTCATTTCTTGATATTTAAATTCATGACCTAAAACCAAAAAGCATAACCACCGAATTAAATGTAATATGTAGATACTGATGCATTTGGCATAATCTTAAAATAAACCAACTGGGATTGACTTTGGAATGCAAAAGACTTAGGGTTTCCAGAGGGTCCTGGGTTTATGGCATCTATAGACAATACTAACCTCCATCCCAGCGCAATAGCTCCTTCGGACAATTGAGAGCTTTGAGCCGCCATACAAGCTCATCAACATTCACCATGGCTTTGACAGGGATTGATGCAGGAGGTCACAGTTGACAAACCAGCTTTAAAAGGACCTTCCAAGTGTTCTCAAAATTTCTGGTCTTCTAGTCGTCACATGGTTTATGATGGATTCATTTATGTTTGTACACTCACGTCCACTTCGAAATGCAGCACAGGTCTGGACAGGTCTGGACTGGATCCGAAACTGTTGGTCCCAGCACTAGTTCAAACTTTCACCAACAAATCACATATTCGTTTTCACAAAAAGAACGGCATACAACAGTTAAATCATGCCAGCCTGGCATTTTTTTTTCCCTGTCACACGTGCCTGCCACAGGTTTCGACTCCGTTTGGCCTTGGCTGGTGTGGCTTGTGTGGTCTGAGTGCTTCCAAAAATGGGGGGAAAAATGTGGAGAAGATAGGTTAAACAACTCGCATCGTAGATTCTTTTGATTAATCACAGTATCAAATATATCGAATTGGTGCACCAGACATGTTCACCAAACAGTGGGATAAGATCAACTATATATGTACAAAGCATCAATTCCTTACTTGATGATATCTGGTATGTTTGATATCCACAGCATCCATCAAACGACATTGAGTGACTTTGGTGGATAAGTCTGCGCATATGCACCACTGCATCCCCTTTTTTTTGTGATCGCCCGCTGACATCCTCTTGGGTGGACAACGCCTGTTCTATCAGAACCAAGCCAACTGCCAGCCATTATTTTGTGGAGCCATTTAGATCTGAGGTGTGATGGCAAATAAGTGAGACAGGTTTTGTTGATTTCACACCATTCCATCATGCAGCCTTGTCCATATCCCAAGCAAATCTAAGTAAGCAGGATTTGCAGAACGCGTTCGTTCTAGGTTGCCACCACGCATATAGGCCTTGATCACCAGAAAACAAACATGATACACGTATATAACAAATTCACACACCATCAATGAGGAACATGTTCACATAAACAATGACATTTGCGCTTGATTGAATTACAAACATTTACCAAATCATTCTTGGGCCAAACGACGTGGTGATACTGTAGTCCATCTATAGGTACCATAATTTGGTACTGACCCCCAAATACCAAAAGTAAGCATTGAACCATAGTAACAATGCTATCCCTTGCGCGCCACACGCTTTGCAGCCTTAAGGGCTGCAGACTTGAGAGACTCTTTGATCTCAACCGTCAGTGGGTCGTCTGCCAAAGATTCATGAGACTCACGAGGTTGGCTGGAAAGTTCGTCCAGGAAAGCTGCCTAAGTGTAGCAGGAGGATGTAGTATGACGCAGTAGGTCAAGGCATGATAGAAAAGGGTTATTCACCAAAATGCTTGCCAAACATTGCCAAAACTCATTGCCTTTTGCTACATTTGTATTTGCCTATCATAGCACAAAGGTAATCCAAATTCACAGGTCTTCAGGACTAATGTCATTCAAGATGCTAGCATCGAAGCTGCTTTCAAGGTAGCCCCCAGGCACAGGTGATATGGTAGATCAGGGTCTTTAAGCGGGATGTTGCAGAACTCACGCTTCTCAGCTCTAAGAAAAACACCCGTGGATGGCATCTTCCAATAGACACTCAGTCTACCCTCCTCAGAACTTGGGGTATTCTCACGCAGCACCGTCTTGGAAGCTTCAGTCAAGTCCTTGACCTTTCTAACTGTCTCCCCCAGGTAGTTGATGGACCTCAAGTATGCCGTAATCTGGGCAACCTGTTCTCTTTCCTGTTTGGGAACACGGCAGACCTTCACCACCTCATCATCATCCTGTTCAACTTTGTTTGCTTTCTTGCTTTTTTTCGATGCCTTTTTTCGTGCAGCGGGTTCCTCCTCCTCGGCCTCAACCTTTTTTTTGCATGCCTTCTTCTCCTTTTTGGTTGGTTTGCCTTCATGGTTGTCATCATCCTTGCTTTTTCCTTTCTTCTC